ATCACAGGCAGAATCAGAAATGAGAGGCAATATCTATTTTGTTGAAATACAGATTAATTATAATGTAGGATTTGTTTTAATGCTTGATGTTTCACAATATTTTAGGAAAAATGGAGTACTTAAGATTTATTCTGTTTCCAATTTCAGTTTTAATAGATAAGTGTCAAAATGTTTTTTTTTTAACATTTTAGTTTACATAGTAATTGATAACTTTGGCTGCTTGCTTACATTTGCACACTTACCAAATCAGGAAAAATAATTTGAATGAGCAGCTCTTTATGTAATAATTTGTTACCTCGCTCCAATCATGGTTATAGATAGTAGGTGAATTTGCCTTATTTTGTCACTCAAATGTCACGACATGTGAGTTCTACTGAGTTTTATGAAACAGGTACGAAACCAGAAATTTCAAGTTTAAGCATTTGATTTCCCAATAATCACATTAAACACTTGATAGCAGAAACCGATTAGAAATACATACTTTCCAGGCCGGTGAGATAGCTCAGCAGTCTAAAGCACCTGCTTAGGCAAGTGCACAGGGACCGCTGTTCGATCTCTGGCACCACATGCCTTGCCAGCCCTGCCCCTGGGGTAGACTGAGCTGGCCACAAAAAAAGAAAAAGAAAAACAAAAACAAAAACAAAAAGAAATACATAGTTTCCACATGCAAACTGGCATGCTTCCGGCTACCACTAGAAAAAAGGCTCATGCTATATTTTCTCTACCCACAATTTCAGTGGTCTCAGTCTGAGTAAAATGAAAAACATTCAAATATTTTAGTACATTGAAAAAAAAGCAATATGGCATGAATATTAGAAAAATATACAATGTCTAAGCCGTTAATCAATATAAATATAACTTTCAAATATGAGTGAGACTTTAACTTAAGTGAACTTTACAAATGAATGAATTTACATCTTTAGTTATAAAAAATTTTCATTGTAATCACCCCAAATCCCACAATATTACGTTACATGCAATAAATTCAGATATATGATTGTAAATTTTAGCAACAGATATTTAGATTTTATCAAAAATCTTCTCATGTAAGTCTTCTGTTAAGCAAATCAAGAATTTAAAACCCAACCAATATGATGAATCTTGTAGCTAGCCTTTGATTTTCAATTTCTCTTCACTGTATTCATTTAATTTCTTTTCTCTCTGAGATAGCATCCTGCTTTGTAGTTTCATCTGCCTTAAAACTCACTGCACATCTCAGGCTAGCCTTGACCTTGAAGAAATCCTCCAGCCTCAGCTTCCCAAGTGTTGCCATTGCAAAGTTTTGCCGACCCATCCTGCCTATACCTCCAGAATTTACAGCTCATAAACAGCTGAGAATGGCCACTGACTTTGCAAATATTTCATTGTATTCCTCTCAGTTTTCATTTTTAAAATTACATAAAAAATTTTATTAGTCCATGTTTGCATTCCACAATGATTACATCCACCATGGAGAGTGGTCCATGGATTGAACACATCTTAATTCTTTGTACCTTTTCTCCTTTCCTCTCTCTTCTCTGCCCCTCTTCCCTGCATCTCTTTCAGTTTTCATTTATACCTTCCAGTTCATGACCAGACAGCTAACTAATCCTGTTCCAAGAGTAATTAGCGTGGAAATGAGAACTTGAAAACCTTTAATGGGAACAGTGCTAGATTCATACCTTTTAATTCTCAGTTCTTTTAAGATTATTCGTACAGGGCTGGCCGAATAGCTCAGCAGATTAAAGTGCTGTTTAGGCAGATGCAGGGGCTCGGAGTTCGATTCCCTGGCCTGCAGTGCGGGCCCCGCCCCCAGAACACACTGAAATGGCAATTGAGACTGGGTGTGGTGTCCCAACTCTAATCCCAGCAATTTGGGAGGCTGTAAACAGGAATATCACTATGAGTCTGACCTACACAGTGAGCCCCTGTGCACTCTGTATACCCTGATCTAAATACAAAAAAAAAAAAAAAAAGATTGTTTATCCAATTATAAGTTTCTTTTCTTAAAGAGGGCTCAAAGTAAAATTCACATTTTCTTTCTAAATCTTCACCTCCAATAAGTTACTATTGATTGGAACTTTGATCTCAATTTTTTTTTTTTTTTTTT